CTAACATATCTTTTTTTTAGTGGACAATGCTCAAATTTGGGCCTTTCCCCTCCTCCCCAAAGAAGTATATTTTTAATATATCAGAAGCTAGAGAAACGTTAAAAGCAGTTTCTCATTTGTCCTTTTATTTTCCTGCCTGTCTCTGCAGCTGATGGCCATTTAATTCACAAACACTGTCCATCTCAATTATCCTAGTATTTACTGGCATCTATTGAGCTAACCAGGGATCACAGAGCTAGATCCTTGAGGTCAGGCCAGTAAAATTAGCCATCTGTCCAATAAAAGCTTTAAGCTCAGCCTGCTCTTAAGTATTATGCCTCCAACTGTGCTGTTTGCACAACAGCAAATGACCAACAATATGACTCAGCTTATAATTTTGTTTCTCCCTTTACACTATTGTTTGACCAAAACATTTTTTTTAAAGGACCTGAACTTTGCATGCAAGTTATGCCCTAATGAGCAAAATAGGCCAAATTTACCAGACTGGGAATAAGGCTTGGTACTCTGGATAAGCCAAATTATGATGAGCTCTACTAATACAAACTTCCACTGAAATAGAACTGTCAATCTGTAAACCTCTTACTCTGGAGTAATCTCACAGAATTGGAATTCAGAGTGACTACTCAAGCTTGTGATAAGCAATTTTAACTGCCATTATTTTCCTTGGTGCAGTCTGTGAGGTGTCAGAAAAAAAGAATACAGTGGTACCTCGGGTTACGAACTTAATTTGTTCTGGAGGTCCATTCTTAACCTGAAACTGTTCTTAACCAGAGGTACCACTTTAGCTAATGGGGCCTCCCACTGCCACTGCGCCACTGCCGCACAATTTCTGTTCTCATCCTGAAGCGAAGTTCTTAACCCAAGGTACTATTTCTGGGTTAGCGGAGTCTGTAACCTGAAGCGTCTGTAACCTGAAGCGTCTGTAACCCGAGGTACCACTGTAAGTAGCAGCTCTTTCCAACCTCACATTGGGCAAGGTGTGTGGCAGTTGGGAGAAGAGGAGGGTGTTGGGAAAACAACTGAGAAGGACCTGTCATTATGGAGCTAATCCCATTCTGAGACCTCTGAAAAAGGTGTACACATTTTGCAAAGTATTGTGGCTGGGTTGAAGAAGAAACCTCTAATTCAGAAACCATGCATTTCAGCATCAGACCAAGGACCCCTCTGGGACATTCAGCAATCACCAACTATGAGAAACTCACCATGAGAACTATAGAAACTCAACTATGAGAAACTCACAGACAATGCATAATGGAGCAACTTTGCTCTCCAGCAATTAGGAGTGTGTTGTTCCTCTGCATCATTAATACCCTAACTCCAATCTCCTTGCATGGATCCTTGCCTGGTAATACAATTCATGGTGTGGGTGGCACTGTGGTCTAAACCACGAGCCTCTTGGGCTTACCGATCAGAAGGTCAGCAGTTTGAATCCCCGTGACAGAGTGAGCTCCCATTGCTCTGTCCCAGCTCCTGCCAACTTAGCAGTTCGAAAGCATGCTAGGGCATAAATAGGTACTGCTGTGGCAGGGAGGTAAACAGCGTTTCCATATGCTCTGGTTTCTGTCACGGTGTTCCACTGCCCCAGAAGCAGTTTAGTCATGCTGGCCACATAACCCGGAAAGAAGTCTGTGGACAAACGCCAGCTCCCTCAGCCTGAAAGCGAGATGAGCACCACAACCCCATAGTTGCCTATGACTGGACTTAACCATCCAGGGGTCCTTTACCTTTTTACCTTTACCAATAAAACTTCCCTGCACCCGAGCCCTTAAGTCCTTGCACCAGCATTTCATGTTAACTTGGGGCCATTTTACATGTTGCCACAGTTTAGATGTTTATGAGATTCCATGGTTTCCACAGCAAACCCTCCTTCCCTCACCTCTTTGATGCACCAAACGAGAGCACTGGAAGAATCCACCTCTGGTTTTAAACTAAACTGTGGTTTCACAACTTAGAGAGCTATGGTTTGCTGTGGCTTAAACCCTTGGCTTTTTGGCACTCATAATTTAAGCAAAACACAGTTCTCTGAGTTCACACATCACAAGGAACTGTGGCTTATTTAAAAGTGGAAGTAGAAGTTTTGATCTAATCCTCTGGTGCATTGAAGATAAGGGGGAAAGTACAAGGCTGTGTATGAACAATGAGCTGCCATCAATCCTGGCTCTCTGCCGAGAAATCCTGTTTAATACGCCTGTTTGCAAATATGTGTTTGTTTAGTTCACACTTTTTCATATTAAAGTTTCAGGCTTATGTATAAAAGCATAATGTGTGATAGTACTATATTACAGGAGATTGCTGTCTTTTCTGCAGAGTTCTTGTGTAGAATTTGCACAAACTAATCACTGGGTTACATCAGCCTATTAAAAAAAATGCTGTTTTCATGCAACAGGTGAGTCTTTCCTTTCTCATTGCAATGCTATCACAGCTACTGATGACTGACTGATTAACTGTCTTCTTTTTAATCAACCACTTAGTTATTCCAAGTAAAAATTAAACTATTTCAAGGAAAGTCAAGTATATTTTTTTAAAAATCCGCAAAGTTTCTCTTAATATCCCAAACAAAATGCTTAGTATGTAGAAAATCATCCTAAAGACATTAAGATACAATCTTTCAATTCATCGTATCATTGATTGGAACATGGCCCACTCAATTCAGGAAGATGAATATAGGTTATCCCAGCACCCCTTCACAACAGAGGAATCCCCAAATAGAATCCGACTGAAATGCATATTTTATCCTGCAAATTAACAAATGACCCAGTTATTTTCACTGACTGATCCATTAAGACTTTTGGCTCACTTCACGGAGCCTAGGATTTGAAACTAGCAGAAGTCACAAGCAAACAGCACACCAGAATGCCATAATTTTTAAATTTCAGAGGGATGGTGTAACAGAAAAATAATCATCTTGCAGCACCTTAAAGACAAACCAATTTATTGCAGCATCTGCCTTTGTGGACTAAAGCCCTCTGCGTGAAATGTAACCTCACCTGGAAGGAAGCATGTATGTATAAAGGGGGAAAACCCAAGGCTTAGCATGAACATGTGAGAATGTTCCCAGAAAAGGAGGTAGAAGCCACTTTACTCCCCTTCTAGTCCTGCTGCTGCTATAAACTAAGCCACCGTTTGGGTTAGCATGTCATCCAAACCTGGATTCATGGTCTGTCTAGAGGAAACAGGAGGCTGGGTTCAGACAACATGCTAAGCCATGGTTTATCTCACAGCAGCACAGCAGAAGAACTGGATGAGTGAAGCAGCCTCAATCTCTCATATAAAAGCTTGTGCAGTCACACTAAGCCACAGTTTGTATGCACAGAACTTAATTCGTTCCGGAGGTCCATTCTTAACCTGAAACTGTTCTTAACCTGAGACACCACTTTAGCTAATGGGGCCTCCCACTGCTGCCACGCCACCGCTGCACAATTTCTGTTCTCATCCTGAAGCAAAGTTCTTAACCCGAGGTACTATTTCTGGGTTAACGGAGTCTGTAACCTGAAGCGTATGTAACCCGAGGTACCACTGTACTGAGCCTGTGACATCCCTGCATGAAGCAAAGCTTTAAATGTTCATCGTCATCATCATCATCTTATTATTTGTAAAAATAGAGACCCATCTGACTGGGCGGTTCCCCCATACACTCTGGGCGGCTTCCAACATATATAAAAACACAATAAAACATTTTTTTAAAACTTCCCTATACTTCCTAACTAACTGATGTATATATTTCTTTAAACCACCATGTTCTTATGCAGCTCTCATGCATTCAACTTGAGCTTGCAAAGATGTGCCCAGTGCAGTGGGCCCCCAAATTGGCAGTGACCTAATGCAGTGAGCATCCTCCTCAGATGTTTCATCAGAGCCTGCATTTTGACTCCAAATCTATTCATTCCGAGTGCAAAGATCATTTTAATCTGGCTCTCTACTATTTCAACATCAAGGACCAAACCCCGTGCCCTTGATCCCTATGCAAAAGACTCACTGACGTCAGTAGGGATTCTGCTACAGATCAAAAGTAGCATTAGATTCTGAAGGCCTTTTATGTATCCTTAAGAGTCTCTTTCAAGAGCCCCAACGAAGTTTACAAAAACTGCCCGTCCATGAAAGCCCCATCTTTATGCTTTAAAGGAGCTGCTGTACATGGACATAAAAATCCTCATTGTTTAGCATCCCAGATGCTCCAGGGTTCAATCCTGCAGTCACCAAAGCACAGGCCACTTAAACCAGAGTGTACGCATCATGTCATCCAGTCTGGACCCTCAGATGATCAATATGATTATGTGTCTGTTATGTGCAAGTATTGAGGCTTAAAAGCGGGGCTTGATTTGTGCCAGAGATCAACACAGCTCAGTCCCGTGGAACTTGGGTTCAAAAAGACGTTATTCGTGTGAAGCAGCAAGGCAAAATAAAATGTTTCTGAATATATACAAATGTACACTTTCTTCCATCCCAATAGGTGGCTGTTGCTAGACAGCTCACGTCTGGGATCAGGAGGTATGACCTGACTTCCAAGCCAAGCACTTAAAAAGAAAAGAAATTAAGCACTTCTGAATAAGCCCATGCAAGTGGTCTCCCTCAGTCTTCCTAAATGGAGTGCAAATCCAGCATGCTACCGAAGACCAGCTGTGAAACAGTAAGAACAGGAAAGGGCTTAAGTGGTCCAAGGTTCTGCTCAGGTGGAGAAGCGCATATGGCGCCTTCACACTTCTGTCAAACAAGCAGCCAGCAAGGAGCATGGTCAGCAGGCATGAGTCCTCTCTCTATTTGTCAACACATGAGAGTCATTTGAAACCCTACGCCCTTTTTAGGAACTTCATATGAAAGCACTACAGCAAGTAGCTGATTTAGGGCAACCATCAGGGCATCAACAGCCATTATCCCAATCTTTGTCCTCTTCTCAGTACAGTGGTACCTTGGTTTGCATACGTCTTGGTTTGCATACGCTTTGGATTACAAACACGTCAAACCCGGAAGTGCGTGTCCCGTTTGCAACCTTTTTTTTTTTGGGACTACAACCCTTTTTTTGGGGGGGGGATTACGAACAAACATTTTTGGGAGGCCCCATTGGCGAAAGCGCGCCTTGGGTTACAACCTGTTTTGGTTTACAAACGGACCTCCGGAACGGATTGTGGTTGTAAACCAAGGTACCACTGTACCTATTTGCATGTCAAAACAGTTCTCTCTTTAAAAAAGTGGGGGGAAATGACTGCCCCGCTGAACAGGCCTGTAATCAAATGGCTAAGATTGAACATAGTCCTTCGGAAATGGGCAACAATCAGGGTAGATAAGTACAGTACTGATTCCCTGGGAAGGGGTTAAGTGTGTAGGCTTATTAATTGTCAAAGGTTTTGCACAAACAGCAAAGTCTACTTGTTAGTCAAGAGACATTCTCCAGCTTTAAAACATAAACTTGCCTTATGTTATCTGGTGGGCGTTTCACCAGCAATAATACTAATATTGCAGCTGCATGACGGGATGTGCTAACTCATGGTCTCTAGGGAAATTACAGTAAAGTTTGGACTAGACGCAAAAGCCTAGAAGCCTCGTAGGCTGTAATGTGAGCGCATACAGTAAGGAAAGCATTATACAGTGGTACCTCTGGATACGCACACCTGTGATTGCGTATCCTTCGGGTTACGTATGCAGCAAACCCGGAAGTATTTTTCTGAGTTCCACCATGCACACATGCACAGAAGCACTCTACGGCACCACGCACATGCACAGAACAAGCACCTCCAGTTGCAAATTCCTCGGGATCCGACCGGAGCTCTGGAACGGATCCTGTGCACAACTGGAGGTACCACTGTACTGAGTCAGACCATTAGTGAAATAGCCTTCCAGGGTCTCAGCAAGTGGACTTTCCCATCATTGGCTACTTAATCCTTTTAACAGGAGATACTCAAGATTGAGCATAGGACCTTCTGCATGCAAAACATGTGCTCTACCACTGAATCATAGAATTGTAGTGTTGAAAGGGACCACAAGGGTTATCTATAGTCCAACACAGGAATCTTCTGCCCAACTTGGGGCTTGAACCTATGACCCTGAGATCCAGAGCCTCATGCTCTACCAACTGAGCTATCTTTGGTTAAGTATGACCCCCCCCTCCCCAAACAAGAGTTTGGCTCCATAGAATCACAGAACTGTAGTGCTGGAAGGGACCCCAAGGGTCATCGATAAGTCCAACTCCATGAATGCAGCAGTAACCAACCACAATTTTTTGAAAGGGGGTACTGAATCACTTAACAAATGTGCAGAAGTTATTATGTCTTCCTCCCTTCACAGCTGCTTACAAAGTATCCAAACGAGTAGTTTTCAAATGTCTCCATAAAGAAAACGGAGAAGTTGCATTATATTTACTGAAAGAAGCTGATGGAAAAGCAAGAATCTCAAGTTTCAACACAACACGCTTTTAAGTTGCATAACAGGAAAGAGTTTTTAAATATAAGAACAGGTAAGACCAAGTGGTAGAATTCTTGTCCATAATGAAGGGATTTCAGACGATCCCTCAGATGTTTAAAGGATGCATGAAAGTCATGCAGCTTAACTTTGTACCCAACAATGTACCTAATGGCCAAATAAACACCCCATCCATTTTGCACATGTGAGAAGGGTGTCTATCTGCATGCCAACACGAATGCATTGAGCTCCTGACCCGGTTAGGGTTCTCCCTCATATGGGAGAGGTCTATAAGCATGGATGTCCTAATTCTCCACATTTGAGTCCAAAGTGGAGATGCTGTCTGAATAAGTAACAGGTGCATCAACAATACTGCACTTCAGAATTAGCATATACTGGTGCCATCCGCAAGACTGCTTTGTGAGCTCATCTGAGCTCAACATTTCCCAGGTATAGTTTAAGTCAGACCACTGGTCCATCCAGCACAATATGGCTGGGCTCCAGATGTTGTTCAACAAAACTACAGCTCCCATGTCAATGGTGAGGGATGAAGGGAGAGCTGGCCAACAACATCTAGAAGGCACTAGGTTGGCTACCCATGGTGTACACCTAGGGTGCGGAATATCTGGCCCATGGACCAAATTTGGCACTGCGCAATTTGGCCCACAAAGCTTGTTTACTCCAAACAATGCCCATCTGCCCTACATCTGAAATTACATGTGACAGGCTGAGCCATGGGAAATTTGACTGCACAGCCCATCCCTGCAAAAAGCAGCACTGAGGTAACCACCCATCAACTGCTGGACAGTTAACCCTGCTGGATTAGTTGTGTGACCCTATATTCGCGGCTTCCATAGGGCTAGCAAAGCCCCTTGTGCTGTGGTTCCCAAGCACCTGGCAACTAGCTGGCTATAGGGTGCTTGGGGTGTGTTGCACAAGTCACACAGACAGGTGGATGGGAAAACCCAGCTGACAGAACAAGAATGGCACCAGGTGATTGGCAGGAAAGTTGCTCCACCCACCTGTCGAAGTTGAGCCATGGGGATGGTTTGGCAATGCCAGGTCCAAAAGGGTTTTCAGTGACTGGCAGTAGCTCTCCATGCTGGGTTCCTAGACCTACCTGCAGATTTCAGGGGTTGAACCTAAAACCTCTATGTAGAGCATTGCTCTACCACTTAGGCATAACTCTAAAGAGATGGGCTAGGCAACGTCTATGAGATACCTTACTTTCTAGTGGAACAATCTACATTTCTGAAGTCGTACTATTTTTGTTAATATTTCTATTTGCCTAATCATCCCAGACTTTCTGTTGCTATCTGCAAAAGGAAACACTGATTGTACGGAAGGCGAGTACAGAAGCCCTATCCAATTAACACACTGACATTTTGTACAATAAGATGACAGAGAACCTAATACTAGGCAGGCAGGCATTCACATCAGCTATCACTTTTGAAATGAATGAAACAGAATAAGGGGCATCTCTCCCAAGAGCTTGTGTTACACGGACTCCGTTTAGCATGGAAACAAGTTACAGGAAAAGCAAGTGGTATAATGAGCCTGTCTTTAATGAGAGGGCAGGAGAAAAAGTTAATTTTTAAATGGAGTATCACGAACCACTAAAATATTAATCAGCCAGGTACTAATGCTTCTAACACCCAGAGCATTCTCGCTTCCAATTAAAGGAGAAAATGACAAATAACTTTTGACAAAAAAGCCACTTACTTTTAAAGCAGAACTTGCTAGCTAGAAAGAAATCAGCTGGAGTAAAACGGACCAGACCACAGAGCGGGGTTTCTGCTCCTTTAGCAACTGATGTCAGGCAGAAATTCAAGAGGTTCAACTTTTTCCACAAGAGGGGTGTTGATGGGGAGAAACTTACCTGGTTGAATTTCTGCCTTACAAAGACTCAGCTGTTGTTGTTTTTTAAAGGGCAAAGGAGCACCACTGGGAGACAGAGGACAGGAAGATTACAAATCCCTTCAACTTTTCTTTCTAGTAAAACATCACATTGGAATAAGCCTGACTTGTCTGTCTCAAAGCTTGATGTAAACTCTGAACTAGCAGCATATTTTCCCAGTGTTCGCATAGATCATTAATACCATAAGACACATCTGCTAATGTCTTTTCTTTTTAATGAATTTTAGTTAAAACCATAAACATACTCTTCTCCCGGGAGTCGCTGATGAACTCAGGAATTTTTGGGGTGGAAATGACCTAAAACAAATGGATGTTCTTTCCTACAATTTGCCTCGTCTCCTTTTTCATTTGTTTTACGCGTAATAAACCGGGGGGGGGGGTGGAATTTCGGGGGGGGGAGAGATGACTCGTCCGATTGTTCTTTTCCCAACAGGAAATGGAGAAGCTGTTTTGACAATATGGATTAAATAACGGTTCTTTTAAAGGCATGGAACCCCCCGCCCCACCCTTTGCTCTCTTCCTCGCCAATGCCTAGTAATTGAGATCACATGGACTCTGTCTGAACTCTCAGCCGTTCTTCGGGGGGCTAAAATGAAAACGAAACCCAAAACAGTGGCTTCCCCAGACCGCTAAGATTTACGCAGCAGGAGCTGCTGGTGGCGAGTAGGTGTGCGAGGATACGGGATCGAATGAGCTTAAGTGCGTCTCTTAAGAGCGCGCGCGTTACTTGGCAGGGCGGGGGAGCCCTTTATTTTTAATTTGTTTTTATTTTTAACTTTTCCCCGTCCACCCACCACCTATGCGCACCACGTAGCAGGGCAAGCGGGCGCGTGCCTGCGATTCCTTCGCACTTTTTTGATCTTCCCAAAAGATGCCCAGGGACTCAGAAACGAGAGAGGGCACTGGAGTCGGCGAGAGTTTGGCGCGCCCCTCTTTCTTTCCTTCCTTCCTTCATTCTTTCTTACCTTGCCTCCTTGGGATGTTTCTTCTGTTTGCGGTTAAGGGTCCGATGCAACAAGCCAGCAGGACCCAAAGCAGGCGGCGGGAACTGCAGCGAGACCGGCAGTGTAAATCCATTTTGGCTCAAATCGGATTGGCCTGTTTCCAACAAAACACACCGGCTGCGATGTGTGGCGGGGGGGGGGGAATGATTATGATTTTAAGCAAAGTTTGAGCAAGTTGAGCAGAGCGCGCTGAAGGGCTGGTTTTGCAATCCGTGGTAACGACGCTCCAAAAGATCCTAGAGATTATGGTAATCGGGGAGGAGCTTTGTGCTGGGTTGCAAGCGGCGGCGAGGACGACCAGTCGCGAGTCCGGCGTCTGTGGAAGCCAGACGGGTTTAAGTGGGTATGGCACGGAGCAAGCAGCACGGTTTTTACGCACGCAACAGGGCGGGGACCTGCCCTTTGATGGGATTAGAAGAATCCCCAGTAATGCGAGGGCGTACAGCAACTATAACGAATGGATGAGGCGCCTCTTAACTGCCTCTCCACACACACTTGCGCCCCACTCCGCCCCCGGGATCGTCTCTGAGATGATGGATCCAACAAGACGCCCACCACCCGCTGAGGAGCGATCCAGCGACGCCCCCCTGCGGAAGATGATCCGTCGCTCACTGCGCGCCGCAGCGGAGCGCGCATTTCCAAACGCTCACCGCGCAAAACGGCCGGTTCCCTCTCGCAGTAAGAGCAGAGCCGTTGGCTGCCCTTTTCACCACCACACCCGGCTCTTTCCCCGAGCCCCCCACTTTCCGTGGCAGAGTCCCTTCTCCAAAAACACGCTGCCTCTCCTCAAACGTTCCCTTAGATTTATCCTCCGCTCCTCCAACTGGGGAGTCGGCTCGCCAGTTTCCCCATAGAACAATTGTCAAATTAATGCCCCCTCCCTACTCTTCATTTGAAACGTTCCAGTTTCAAAGGGTTATTCATGGGCGTAGCCAGGCTTTTTGTGGGGGGGGGGGGCAGGCTTTTTGTTAGGGGGCCAGAACCTCAGTTTGATACATGTTTTTATAGATTGTGGGAGAGCTGCCCCTCCTTGCCCCCCTTGGCTACGCCCATGGGGCTATTTTAATTCATTATTTTTATTTAAATATGTATCCCCCCTTGGAAAAATAAACAAATCCAAGGTGGCTAATGATTTTTAGGACCGTATGACATTTACCTTCAGAATATTTTTTTTTTTTTAAGTCTCTCTTTCCAGCTTGCAACTCGGAAAGGTAATGAGACTTGCCCAAGGCTGCTTGTGGAATCCAGTGGCAGAAGTGGATTTATGCGCCTGGCTTTTTTAAACCACAGTCTCCCAGAGCCAAAGCAAACTTCTCAGAGAGGCTTTCATAATAGTCTACCCCCTAGGGGAAATTGTAGGCATTTTCTACATCACACATGATATTAAAACATGTTTTTGAGTTTCTCTTGCACTGCTTCTGCATAACTGCAAGCATGGGACAGAAAGCAGAAGCGAGCCTTTAAAAAATAATAATAAAGTATTCATGCTGCAGGCAACACAAAATAAACTTCCTAAGTGAAAAATATTGTGCTGAATTAAACAAGCTGAAATTATAGCACTTTCAAGGTTGCCGTCCATTACCCATTTATATGGGAATATGCCCTGTTGAACTCAGTGGGACCTACTTATAAGTAGACATGTATAGGATTGTACTCTAACTCTTGTGGACAGTGAGCCGGATTGCACATTAGAAACTTCCCCACACAATAAGGGACACTTACTAGTTGTGGAAGTATCAGCCCGTCACTGTTTGAAATGAAATTACCTATTTTTTTTCCTGCCAAGAAGCTCTGCAATGCCACTCCTTCAGAAAAGCTCAGATCACTTCCCAAAGGGCATTATTAGAATTGTGAACCTGCCACTCAATCCGTAACATACTCTGGGTTCCACTGCCCTCCCCCACCTTCTCTGCAGAAGATCTGATCTAAAATACTTCCTGCAAAATAGAGAATGCACAATCAGCTCCCATCTCTCCTGGGCTTAATTTGAAGCCTGTTCTGAGCTTGCAGCTGAAGAACGTGGTAGAGTCTTGTGGTGGTAGAGTGGGCTATATCACTTCACATGGGAGAGGAAGGGATTACATTTTTTAAGTTGTCTCAAGCGTTCTTCTGTTTCTCCGATCCTTTCCAGGAACCTGTAATTTGTTGTTTTCCAGCTGAATGAGAAGAAATGGATGCTGAGGATGAGGAACAGGGTAAAGCAGGAGAGGTCCTGTGGGTTGTATCCAGCCCATGACCCAGAAGTTCCTCACCTCTGCTCTAGACCTGAACCCACTGGGATTTTTAATAGCGAATTTTGACCACTGAGTTTATCTTGAATTTGAGATTCTGCTAACTTTTGGCACAGGGATATGAGTGACAGAAAGCTAGGGTTGCAAGCGTAAGCTCAAATACTTGCAAATAAGTCCCATTGAAATGAATGGGGCTGATGCCCAAGTAAATATGGTTAGGGAATTGAGTTGTTAAGTGTCCTAGCAGATACTGAGTTAAGCAGATAAACGAGGTTTAATCTTTCCAGATGGAAGCTGAATCCACTTTGGCCACTCAGACTAATATAGTAACTTCCATACAGATTAGTAGCAAGGAGGACAACGACGACAAGCTGGAGAATAGGAATGGGGGAAGGTAACCTGAATCCATAGGGAACCAGGAGTGGTATTCAATTAAGATTGAACTCATCAGAGCAGACCCATTGACTACGGTTGTGTACACATTACCAGCTTAAAACACAGGTGGATTGTTCTTCAGTACAGTTTGAAGCTGGTTTCCGGGGGGCAGGGCAGGGAGAGACATCAAAATACAGTAATGGGAAACAACAGGATAGATACAGAATAGATTTGGATTGTGGCTAGACATATGTGTACACCACTTTGCAATCCAGTGGTAAGAGCACACTGGATGCAGAATAAGCAGGAGTGTGTACACAGCTTAAGTTACGTCCATTAATTTCAGTAGGTCTGCTACGACTAAAACCTAATTGAATTCCACTCAGGAATAGACCCCCATGCTGCATGAACAAGATGGGGAAGGCGAGAGGGGGAAATGAAAGTTGGCAAGACAAACCAAGCTCACATGCGCAACTGGAGATGTGGTAGCGCTGTACATGAGCGGGATGATTTCAAACTGCAAGTTTATTTTCTTTATACAAAATTAGCATACTCGTTCCTGACATTTAATTTTCTATACATGGAGTGTTTGTATCAAAAGGAAACTAGACTAGCCCTAAAAGTAAAGGTAAAAGGACCCCTGACCGTTAAGTCCAGTCGCGGACGACTCTGGGGTTGCGTCACTCATCTTGCTTTACTGGCTAAGGGAGCCGACGTTTGTCCGCAGACAGTTTTTCTGGGTCATGTGGCCAGCATGACTAAGCCACTTCTGGCGAAACCAGAGCAGCACACAGAAATGCCATTTATCTTCCCGCCGGAGTGGTACCTATTTATCTACTTGCACTTTGACATGCTTTCGAACTGCTAGGTTGGCAGGACCGAGCAACGGGAGCTCACCCCATCGTGGGGATTCGAATCGCCAACCTTCTGATCGGCAAGTCCTAGGCTCAGTGGTTTAGACCACAGCGCCACCCACGTGCCTTAGACCAGCCCTACTATTAGGTAAAGCGAAGTGGTTGCAGATTTGGAGTGTCAGGAAAAGGGAACAAATTGTTGGTTATTTAATGTATTATTGCTATATTTCTGTTGCCAGGGAGAGGGAGGTGCTTGTAGGATTTTGTGTCTCAGGTGCCAAAGTAAATTGACCTTGACTTGAGGTAGCAGGTGTCATTTGTTAATCCTCCTTAGACAGCACAATGAGAGCAGAATTCAATAATATGATCTCCCAAGGGGCTTCTGAAATGGTCAGTCAGCTCAGGAACCACCTCATCTGCTGTTTGTGCAGACTAAAACATGAGTAGGGGGATGTCCCTTTAAGGAGGAAGCTTACCTCAGTCCAATGCCTTAAGAGGATGCAGTATCCTCCTATAATACCTTTACATCTCAAGCTTGTAAACTGACATCCCTCAAAAGTGATGATCAAGTAGACAAGACCTTTGGATTTTCAGTCCCTAACCTTCTGCTAATTAATAAGCTACCAGTGGAATTATGCCATCAGTTGCACTAGCAAATCCTGCTCAAATTTCAGATGTATGTAGCAGAAAGGAAGGGACATGGGGAATAGTCAAGTTCATTGTTCTAAGCAGAGTTGTAAAAATAAGTTTGAAGAGGGAATGAGGGGTCTGGTACGAAAGAGCTAGGGTCTGGGCCTCCAAACCATCTCCTAAAAACACGCCTGCAAGCCAGTAAAAATTGAGTGCCCACAGTATCTTTGCAAGGAAGGATGTTGGGGGGGACAGGACTGAACAACCTGAGCATAGTCCATGAACTCATTGGCCAAAAACACACCATTACAGTCTAGCAGGTTCTACCAGGTCCTGTGGGCACCAGTCAACACTGACAATAGGACAAAAGCTGCCTTTCATCTCAGCATGTAGGCAAAATGCTGAAACGGACAGCAGCCATCTGATCGCTACCATAGTGGCGATTCTCAAACGGTACAAGAGGTGAAATATTTTACTGCCGAGCTTCCTGTGGGAATACGCTCCCAGTGTTTGAAAAGCACCAATTCCCTAGGTGGCTGCACACAGAGCCACTTTGCAAGGCTCCTATGGAATCTTCACAGCATTGCTCCAGCAGGGAATCCAGCTGGCAGCCAGATGCAAGCACAGAAGTGATTGCACTGCACAGAAAGCTGTGTCAGAGCGGAAGTCTCCTGCTATTCCCTTTCCACAAAGTAAACAGCTAACCGTCTTCCCCTCTCACTTTTAAGATGTATAGCTGTAAACGGGGTGATCATTTTACTGCTCTGCAAATGAATATATATTTCCCTGCTCCAAGTTGAATGCAAAAACTAAGAAACAAACCTGATTTGGCCTGTTTCCAACAGCTTGGGGGGGGGACTGTTGAAGCGGGTACCTGTTGGCTGCTACCTGTGCTGTCACTAACCCATCTCCACCACAGCTCCTTAATCACAATTTTTTAAAAGTTTCCCCTTTTTGTTGTTGCCGTAAAGAAAATTACTGCATAAACAATTGATGGGGAAAACATTAAGCTACCCCACACATCATATTTAGAGTGGAACCTCCAAAAGCAGGTTAAACTGTAGGACAGACATTTCGGTACACAAAACTGATTCAGGCTAAAATGAAATACAAAAGCAGGTAAACCAATTTATGGTTAAAAAGCTAGTCCCATCTTGTAGGCTGTAGCGGGCAAGGGGCAGTTTCAGGTGAGAGATTTAAGGCAAGGGACTTTTCCAGCCTGAGACTGAACCTGGCACCTTAGGCCTGCAAAATGGACGCTCTACCACTGAGCCACAGGCCTGGTGAATGGGAGAAAGGACAGCCACCCCCACCCCCAAAAGCAGCAGAAATATGACAAAAGCCCTGTTCCCCACCTGTGATGATCCCCCCTTTGATAATTTTTGAATGTGATTTATTTCCTTATTACCGTATTTTTCGCTCTATAAGACGCACCAGACCACAAGACGCACCTAGTTTTTGGAGGAGGAAACAAGAAAAAAATATTCTGAATCTCAGAAGCCAGAACAGCAAGAGGGATCACTGCGCAGTGAAAGCAGCAATCCCTCTTGCTGTTCTGGCTCCTGGGATAGTTGCGCAGCCTGCATTCGCTCCATAAGACGCACACACATTTCCCCTTACTTTTTAGGAGGGAAAAAGTGAGTCTTGTAGAGCAAAAAATATGGTAATTGATGGGAGAAGGAATGGCGGGGAATGCAGGGCGAAAAAAATCACAGCATTAGTCAGCACTGACTGGCAGAGTTTCAGGCAGAAACCTTTCCCGGT